TAGCCTGAGGTGGGGAGGCGGCAGATGGGCCAAGAGAATGAAGAGATTTGAATGCCCAGGAAATAGAAGCAACAGCAATGGAAATTGATTGGATGGATGAGTACTGCAAAAGGGAGGAAAAACCAGCTGTCGTTCGTAGCAAAGTGCCTTCTGTAGGAAGTTGAATTTCGGGACTGTGTTGAGATAAGAATTTCCAAAGGACCAGCAAAATGTACTTTTCATTTAGATTGTACAGATTTTGAGGAACCTGTGAAGATGCTAATCCAGAGAGTGGAAGAAAGCCAGTAGTTGCGTGTGTGAATGCTACACTCGTGGAAAATTTAGATGTTTTCAGTGTAAGATATGTGAAGTCATGAGGTAAGGCCATCTGCACGAGTCATTAAATGTGAGAAAAATAGTTCAATGGCAAGAGTCTGAGAAACTTAAACACTTAAAGTTAGGCAGGAGCTAGCGATCCCTCTCACAGGTCCAGTGCTTGCCTACCATGGACAAAACCCTGGGTTTCATGGCTAGCGGTGGGAGAGGGATATGAGGCAGAAGACGACCCTCCAGATGATTGATTAGTAAGCAGAGAGGAAGTAGGGATGCTGAGGGAAGCCAGTGTGTGCCATGGAAGCTATCAAATGTGTCCGATTCTGTTCTGTAACCCTCTTGTTTGCGCTCAGTAATTCTGCATCCCTTTACTCTGCTTTATTTTAATTCAATATATTACTATTAAAATTATATCATATATTTTCATGAGTCTATTCTTTTTTTAAAAAAATCTTTTATTTATTTGGCACAGAGCTTGCTACGCAGCTCAGACTCATAGTGATCCTCCTGTCTCAGTCTCCCTAATGCTAGGGTTATAGGCGTGCACCACCACACCTGGTTTCCATGGCTAGCATTACGTGGCATGTGGTACCCGGGATCAAACCTGTGTTGTTGCACTTGCTGGGCAGGCGCTTAGACTGCCAAGCTATCTCCCCAGCCCTCTGTTATAGTCTTCACCTGCAAATTCAATAAATCTGAAGAATTAAGTAGGACTTAGAAGTTTACACTACATGCAAATGGCACAGTAGCACTAATGAATTTGATAAGAGCAATGTCAGAAGAATGATGAAAATGAAAAAATTGTATTAAGATGAATAATAACAGTAAAGGCAGTGGGGAGTTCTAACAGTAATGATTTCTTCAAGAAATTTAAATTGATAGGGAAAAACCCTAAAGTACATTTTTCTTATTGACAAACTGATGGATATGACTCATTCTAATATACCAAAGTAAGAATTCCTCTATGCTTTACTTTTCAGTATCTGGGTAACAAAATAGCAAAAATTCAGCAGCATAAAGCAGTTCAGAGATTTATGGTTTTACAGGCTCAAAATGATGATAATCTGTGTGTCTCCTATATGGGTCTTCCTTCTGGTTCAGTACTTACATCAAGATACTTGTTGAGATCATAGTCACCTTAAGGCTTGACTGGAGGTAGAGTCGCTTCTGAGCTCACTGAAGTGACTGTAG